TATATTATTCGTTAATCGTTATATTATTTTTATATTATTTAGTAGTTTTAATATATCTTTTTGTTATATTATTTTTTACATTATTTAGTAGTTTTAATATACTTTTTTGTTATATTATTTTTTGTTACGTTATTTAATAGTTTTAATATACCTTTTTGTTATATTATTTTTTACATTATTTAGTAGTTTTAATATACTTTTTTGTTATATTATTTTTTGTTACGTTATTTAATAGTTTTAATATACCTTTTTGTTATATTATTTTTACATTATTTAGTAGTTTTAATATACTTTTTTGTTATAATATATTTTGTTACGTTATTTAGCAGTTTTAATATACTTTTGGTTGTATTATTTGTACATTATTTAGTAGTTTTAATATACTTTTTTGTTATAATTATTTTTGTTACGTTATTTAGTAGTTTTGATATACTTTTTAGTTATGATATATTTTGTTACGTTATTTAGTAGTTTTAATATACTTTTTTGTTGTATTATTCGTACATTATTTAATAGTTTAATATACCTTTTTTGTTATGTTATTTTTGTTACGTTATTTAGTAGTTTTCATATACTTTTTTGGTATATTATTTTTACATCATTCAGTAGTTTTAATAATGGCTTGGCTTATAATAACATATTAACGGCTCATAATTTTCATCTCATCATTTCACTGAACGTTTATTCCATTATATCAGTGGTTGTATGGTTTTGTTTCTTATTCTCACTGTTGTTGTCGTCATATCATAAAACGTACATTATTTATTTTAAAAAATTGGATTAACTTTAAGCGGTTTAACATATAGCCCCATTGCACAAAAACACTTAAAGAAAACCCTGCCTGAAATTTGCTCACCAAATGAATAAATATCAATATATTTTTATCTCCTTTTAATGTTTTTTTTTTTTATAATTTCACCCGGTTCATATCTACACACTAAATATATGCACATGGTAACACGTACATAAGCCTAATTACTTTAATGAAAATACTTATTTGCTCTTCACCAATAACTTAATTTTCGGGTATATTTTAACAAATATTTTACGAGATATTATTGTAGCTTTGCATCCATTCGAGTTACATTATGATTTGAAATCTGTCCCTGTGGATCCACTTCACTGCCATATTTAGTAGCCACGAAACATAACAAATTTACATTTTGTTGTTTTTTATAATCTCATTTCGTTTTATTTATATTTTTAACTGATACATTCTTAAAGAAATGTGTTTTATCTCCTTTTATAATTTTGCTCCTATTTTTAACAACACAACAGACAATTTTGTCTACCCCTCCGTGCTATAACAGACGTACTAATAAGTAAACAACTTTACTAGTTTAGAATCATATACACCACTTTTATCCACAAATTATGCACAAAATTTTAACTGTCATACAGCATAATATAAATAATTACAGATTAAAATTTCTTCAAATGCCTTCATTACAAATTTATTAAATATAATTATTTCTTCATGAAATATATTTTGTATAAATTGTTGTAGTTCAGTCAATAAGAAAATTAATGTCTCATTTTTCTAGTATCTGAACACTTTCCTTTATCTGATTGTTATTTTCCTTCCAGGGAAATTATGGACCGCGCCCGAACTCCTGCGCATGCCCAACCAATCAGCTGGAGGAACACAGAAAGGTGATGTGTATGCCTTTGCCATCACAGCACATGAGATTGTAGTTCGTCAAGGGTCATTTTTTCTTGGGCTCTCAGACGCTAGTCCGAAAGGTAAGCAGGGATTTTCACCCCCCTCATAGATTAAATATCTCTTTAAACGTTCCAAATAATAACTTTAATATGCGTTTTGAAAAGTAAGATTCCTAGTGGAACCTTAACTTTGGGTTTAAATCTAACTTCAAAATAATTACTGCATTTATTTCATGCTTGCCAATAACACGTATTAAAGAAAGGATTAGAAAAAGTAACCTAGTAAAATCCCAAACTCGAACGGCATGTGCACATGATCTGGAATGCTGATGATACAAGCACGTGCTTTAACATCTGAACAGTGGTGGGAGTGGTCGGCAAATGAAACTAGATCGGTAAGGTAGAAAAGTAAACAGAGACTGGGAAAGGTTATGGCCACATCCGAACGGCAGGACACCAAATGGATAAAGCCACAATGTTCTTTGGAATGTTCCTATTGTCAAAGTAAGTAGGATATTTTATTAATAATTCTAGGTAGCCTGATAAAATATTGTTTCTAGATATTGTAAATTTAATGGCAGGGGTACATCATATACACACACACACACACATATATATATATATATAATTTAAAAAAATACATCATAAGGAAGAATAGCGTGAATTTAACACAGCATGTCCAAACCTTATATCAAAAATAATTAATTGTAATATTACATAGAACATAAAAGAAAAAAAAGAGGAAAAAGAAACAACGCAGCTACAAAACAGACATGTACCATCTGGGCACGCACCATAGGGCGGCTGGTTATGCAACGTGCCCTGGTTTTGGGGCCTTACTTCCGCCAGTACCTCAAAAACCAGGTCACATTGTATAGTGCCTAGGTGGTACTTGTCTGTTTTCTAGCTGCGTTTTTTTTCCTTCATGTTCTACGTAAATTACAATTAATTATAGATAGATAGTTAAGGATGACACGATTTAGAATTTTTTATTCAATAACAAACAATAACTTTTATTATTAATTTCCACTAATCGAGGGTAAAGCTAGTAATTGTTGCAGAAGTTTAAAAAAATATTTAGGAAACTTAAAATGTTGATCATCTTGTGTCTCGTTGTATCCTTTCTTTAACGAATATTGTTTGGTTAAATTGGTCAAACGTAATTTTGTGATAATTATTTATTAGTTATACATGTCATAAGAATTAGAACTTTCATGAAAAATTTTCACCTTCATGACCCTGGAGGGTCTTCTGTATCCAAAAAAATCTATATCAAAACAACTCTCTCGTATACACGTGCTGTTCTATGTATTGCATTCATATTAAGGTGATCCTGAAATACTAGATTAGAACTGTTTCACTAAGGGTTCTTAAAATCTGTATATGCATAATTGGATAAATTAGTTATGTACAATGAAAGCCAAAAGTGGTTAAAAGAGAAGAAACTGGCTCAAAATTAAATAGTAATTTTACAAAAATTAATCGAAACTAATAGTAATCATGTCAAGTAAGATTTAAATAAATATGTTTTCTTGTTTAATAGTTGCTATTGCAAACTATAAATGAAAGCAAGTCCCTGTTTTTTTTAGCGACTCTACATATCATAGCAATAAAACCAACCTTAATTAGTTATTTAAACTTCTGATTATGAGCTAATAGTTTAAATAATGATATTCACTAATGAAGAGAGTTTGGTAATATTAATTAATTCGTAATATATTTATAAATTAATTTCAAATTATTTGCACTGGGATAATTCTCTACAACTAAAAATCAGGAATGAGAAAAAAGATGAATAATGATTAAAAATATTTTGTACAAACCGTTATGAACCTGGAAGGTAATATATAATACTGTGAAAGTTTGAAAACAGTACTGTTGATGTTTTTGTGAAGGTAATATAGAATACAATGAAAGTTTGAAAACAGTACTGTTGATGTTTTTGTGAAGGTAATATAAAATATAGTAAAAGTTTGAAAACAATACTGTTCATGTTTTTGTGAAGGTAATATAGAATATAATGAAAGTTTGAAAACAGTACTGTTGATGTTTTTGTGAAGGTAATATAAAATACAGTAAAAGTTTGAAAACAATACTGTTGATGTTTTGTGAAGGTAATATAGAATACAATGAAAGTTTGAAAACAGTACTGTTGATGTTTTTGTGAAGGTAATATAAAATACAGTAAAAGTTTGAAAACAATACTGTTCATGTTTTTGTGAAGGTAATATAGAATACAATGAAAGTTGGAAAACAGTAATGTTGATGTTTTTGTGAAGGTAATATAGAACACGGTGAAAGTTTGAAAACAGTACTGTCGATGTTTTTGTGAAGGTAATATACAATACTGTGAAAGTTTGAAAACAATACTGTTGATGTTTTTGTGAAGGTCATATATAATACGGTGAAAGTTTAAAAGCAATATTGTTGATGTTTTTGTGAAGGTCATATAGAATACGGTAAAAGTTTGAAAACAATATTGTTGATGTTTTTGTGGAGCTACGATTTTTACTTCTTGAGGTGGAATGTTGAGAAATTAAAGAAGTTACTGACTGTTTATCTTCATTAAAGGATTTGTTCTTTTCAAATCTTTATATAAGAATGGCATATTTTACGGGTGTTTATAAAACAGGTTGTAGTTTTAAAAAATTCAAGTCCAGTTTCACAGGTTTTGTTTACTAATGTGATTTATATAGTGTTGGAATAGTGTTTTGCGAATAAATAGTTTGTTCAAAAGACTTAGTTAAAATGTCAGAATACGAACTAAACTTTTTTATTGTTACAATTTATTTTTTAAAACAACGCTTCCCCTTGCACTTTCTTTAATGATTATTCCGACTATTAAATTCTCCAATACTTGTAACAAAAGTTCGTTTCTTTAACAAGCATGGCGAGCTAATTTTGCTACACAATGGGCTATCTGTGTTACTTAGCCATTGGTGGACTGAGTTATGACTTAGGTACTCCTCTACTAACTTTGTTTGCTTGTAGTTAAGCACAAGGATACACAATAGACTATCTCAGTATCTGTACTCTACCCACAGAGGGTATCGAAACCCGTCTTGTAGCGTTATAAGCCCCAAGACTTGCCGTTGAGCCACCGGAAGATTCTATTACCTGACTTGGATAGTATTATAGCAAGGGATTCTCTAGTAACAAAGATGTTCTGAAATTTTATAAAGTAAAATAAATTATACCTCAAGTTCAATATGATCCATATTATATCATGGTTAGAGGATGAAATAACAAACAGTTTTTTAGACATATCACATTATGTGAGGCTTAGCAGTAGAACATATCATAAGAACTCCCGATGACTGAAGACTTTGACTGCAGGTTCTTGCACAAATAATTAAAGTTTAATAACAACTGCAGCTTCAACGGTATTGTTAATGTTCGTTTACTATGGTCTACCTATAGAATTTGCTCTTTACCTTGTTTAGAATGATTACGTAACGTACTTCGATACAATATTAACTCGTAAGTAAAAGTGATTATTGTTTTCTTTCTGTGCGACTACCTAATACCAGCCCCCCGGTACCGCAGCGGTATGTCTGCGGACTTACAACGCTAAAATCCGAGTTTCGATACCCGTGGTGGGCAGAGCACAGATAGCCCATTGTGTAGCTTTGTGCTTAATTACAAACAAACAAACAAACAAACCTAATACCGTATTTTTAATATCGATTGTTTTCCCTTCATTAAACAGAACAATGTGCATTTTAAATCATATTATCTGTATTGACATTTGCCACCAGGTTCATCTAAAATAAAATTAACAACACAATTATCGTTACTGTTTTATTTTTAAACCTTCTATCTGTTAAAAACACTCCCTCTCCCTCTGGTGGTTCAACGATAAGTCTGAGGCATTATAACGCTAAATATCAGATTTCGATACCCTCGGTGATCAAAGCACAGATAGCCCATTCTTTAACTTTGCGCCCGACAACAAAAACAAGCTGTTAATACAGCTTGTTTAAAATCTGGAAGTAAAAATAAAAGCGTACACTAATCGGTTTTCCTGAAAAGGAAAATTCTTTCATTAATAAATGCAACAGCTGCCTTGCAGTAAACTGATTTTCTTATATATATATTTATAATCCTGACCAATTATTGTTCTATTTTGTTCTTCAATTCACTTCAAAGACTTATTCAAGAAAAAAAAATCTAAAACATTTCACGCTCGTTACACTAAGTTTTATGGAGAGAGTGACATTTTTTGGTTACAGCAGAGTCGATAATCTCATTGATCAATTGGATTTTCAGTCTCGGTAAACTGTGAAACCAAATAAAGATAAAGAATACAGAGACATTCTGATATGTAGGCTCTTATGCATCTTTTAACATTAGTATAATCAAAATTTTGAGGTATTATCAAATTATGAATGGAGACAAATTATTGCATCGTTGATTTACATTAACAGAAAAAACACTAAACGCTAGACGTTTTCAAATGGAATTACCTATATAAATTTTCATTTTTAAACCTCTTTAATTTATGTAAACAAAAAACAAAAACTTAGCATGTAGGTTACGAAATATTGCATGGAAAGATTCGACCACTTGATCACTCCTTTCCTGCCATAATTAGGGCTAGGACTATTGTTCAAAGTAGAGTTCTGACAATATCAAGAAACAATAAAAACTTCGGTTTTTTTTTATGATAACTCAAACAAATATAATTTCACCACTTTTGTTAGATATATAGCTTATTGTTAAACCTGTTCTTTCTAACACCATTTTTATAATCAATCTGTGGTTTCTAGAAACTGATTCGATTACAAACCCTAAATTCGTGAACAAATTACCGTTTGAATCTGCTTGATACCTCTAAGTTCAGTCCTGAATTTTGAGCATAACAACTGTGAAATACTCCTACTTATTGCAGTTTTGGAATGCTAAAACCGTTCTTTTGTGAAATTGAATATGTCTGGCAACAGTAAGATAAAGCCACTTTGGAGTCTTTTTTTTCCAATAGGTCATATATTTGCTGCGTAACATGTAATCTATCCGCACTGGTTCAGTCATCTAATGTGTATCTGAGCGAAAGTATTTCATCATGAGAATTCCTACAGTAT